CCGTGAGCCGCGCGCCGCCGCCGCCTGCTCCGCGTCCCCGCGCCGCCCCGGCGCCGCTCACCTTGGCGCCGTAGGTCTTCTCCAGCTCGTCCTTGTAGAGCTTGATCTGGGCCTCGTGCAGGCTGCGCAGCTCCTGCAGCGCCTCGGAGAGCTTGCTCTCGAACTCCCGCTGCCGCCCGTTGTCGATCTCCACCAAGCGCGTCTCGTGCCGCCGCTTGGTCTCCCGCAGCTCCTGGGGACACCGGGAGGCGGGATGAGACCCAGGCGAGCGGAGGCTCAACCGGGGCCAGCGCACGGCCCGGGCTTTCTGCACGGAGCCGCTAGTGGTCGCTCGGTGCCCTCTGCAGATGTTCTTCTGGAACTCGAGCTCTTCCTTGAGCGTCTGCAGCCGGTTCTCGGCGTCCACCCGCCGCAGCATCTCATCCTGCAGCTGCTTCTTGGCCTCGCTCAGGGCGCTCTCCAGCTGCGGGGAGAGGAAAAGGACGGTCGCCGCTGGGAGGGATCCACGGATGGAGGCAGATTGTGCTGTCCCCCACATCGGCTCCGTCGGGATGGCGGGATCCTCCCTCCGTGTCCCCGCTCACCTTGGCCACCTGCGCGCGCAGGTCCCGCACTTCGGTCTCCAGGTTCCTCTTCTCGCCCAGGGCCGTGGAGAGCGCGGCCTCCTTGGAGTTGAGCAGGGCCTCCACGTCCTTGAGGCGCGCCTGGGCCGCCAGCAGGTCCCCTTCCTTCTTGGCATTCCTACAGCGCAGCGGGGACGGGACCATGATCCCCACGATCCCCTCGTATCCCGGCCACATCTCCCAGCCTCCCTCTGCCTCCTCCCCATTGCGTGACTCAGTTTCCCCCCGGCCGGGGGCGTTTGGGCCTTTCTGAATCCCCCCGGCACCAGGTCCTGGCTGCTCCCACGTGGTCTCAACCCCAGCAACTCCAGAGAATTTCCTATCCCAAAAATCCCCGGGGAACCCAGTGCTGTTTTGGTGGGTCCTATATAAAGAGGCTCGCGGTACCCGGGAGCCCTCCTGCTTTCAATGAGCTCGGCCGCCGTCCGGGTACTCCTACCCAGAACGGGCTTGAGCCATGAGATCACGGGTAAAAACACTGGTGGGGATCTGGGCACCAGCAGCAGGATCAGACCCCGGGGTGGCATCCGCGTCCGGCTGGGCAATCCCGGGAGCAAGACGGGCCAAACGCGCACCGGCAGCACTGGCACCGGTGCCCCTTTGCTGCCAA